CTTGATCTCCACCTGAGGCTGGTCATGTGCCATAGCCTGGAAAATAAGCCAACTTGCCAACATTACAGACATTTGGCTGATGAGTTTTAGTCATTTCACACCCTGACACACACTAAAAAGGCAGTGCCTCACTGTAATCCACCTAACTCTGCCAACTTTTTCAATCATAAGACTCTTTATTTAAGACAAAGCTCCAAATGGCATCAGATTAATTCAACCGTTCCTAATTTTGTTAATCAAAACCGATTAAGCAATGATAAGGTGGTGACTAAGAGGTTTAAAAAGTACTTGTTTAGTAAAAAGAAAATAGATTTTAGGTGAAACTGCTCAGAACAAAGTTTATATTTTTCTTTTTAAGTAAATGGGTCAAGATTTCTGAAGAGACACTTAAGTTGATTTTTTTTTTTTTTGAATCTGTACAGCTGATATCTCCAAAACTTTGCAACTTGCACTAAAATAACTTAAACGGCTCGATAGAACCAGAAGAAAATAAAACATTTTATTTTGGGGTAAACTGCTCTTTTAATGGTGTGCTTATTTATGTAGCATCCATGCAGTTATTAATCTTCTCAGCCCCTGTAAGGAGTCACGTCACAGTAGGCCTTGGGAGAGTTTTTCAAACAATAATATAAGGTTACATACTGTAAATGCTTTCTGATATATATATATATTTTTTGATTGATTACATTATTTATTTTTCTTTGGCAAACACAAAAACATGATTAGTAATTTATCAGTGTTGCTTCCACACAGCTGTGCTGAGGTTTATCTGGAAACTGTTTCAGGATCTTTTGTCTGTATTTAGGTTTTTGGATTCTTGGTGAATATGTACAGTATGTCTGTTTTTCACTGTTATTCTAGGGTTTGAAGTTTTGATTTTTGTGTTTGGATTCCTGATTTAATTGTTTTATTGGTTTTAATTCTGTTACTGATATTTGGTGAATCTTGTAAAAGCACAACAAGGGACAAGGGTTGGAAATTAGCAACAGCTCTAAACCCTGAGCAGCACATCAATGATCCAAACTATGTTAAACTGAAATGACTTCATGTACCATGTTTGAATCTGGTTCATGATTTCTTTATTGTTTTAAACGTCAGTTTGATTTCTTGTGACATTGTTGAGTCTTTGATTTCTGTTTTTACGTCACGTTTTTTGGGTAAAAGACGTTGTTTCGTGATCCTGTGTTTTCAGTATTGTTTAAGTAGGTTGAGCTTTAGCTTTATTGGATTGTTTGAGTTTTGATAGTTCACAGTTCGAGTGCTAGTGTTTGTTATGTGTTGTGTGTTTGGTTCCCTCAGTGTTACCCTGTCTGTTCCCTCTGATTCTGTTTCTTTGATGACTGAGTCTTCTTATCTCCATGTTTAGTTTTTGTCTTTTGTTTATTTCCTTTCCCAGCCGGCCCGCGGTGTACAAACGGTCCAGTCTCCCTCTTTGTCCTTGTCAAATTGTTTGTCTATGCTCTCTGCTTCCTGTTTTCTGTAATTCCCCGTTAACTTTTTGGATAGTTGTTTTGTGTACTGACTCACTGGCTTTGCAAACAGCCAATAAATATCTTGCTTTTGTCTAACACTGACTGCCTTTGTGTCCTGCATTTTGGTCCTGCTTTACACTCCACCTCACAACAGTAATGGGCCATGACTGAGGCTCAGGTGGATACACAGTTTTAAGAAAAAGAACTGTTCAGGTTTAGGCTGTATCATTACTCTGTCAATAAAACACTAAGTGAGCCATAAAATAACAGGCTAATGTTATCTGGTAACCCCAATTTAACAATGAAATTTGTTACAGTGTGAGATTTACTGTAAGAGTACAGGAAACAGAGTTATCTAATTAGTTTATATTATCTCCACATGCTTAGAAACGGCTCGAAACATATTTTAAAATATTTAATTAAAATATTAAGTTAAGGAAACGCTCACTTAGGACTGATCCTATTTCGCGGTGACAAAATGAATGGGACCGAACGTAATGTGTGACTCTAACAGTGTCTCACATTTTCGTATATTATTACAAACATTATAAATGCATGAGATTATAATACAATTATTAATGTGTCCAAGCTGAGACGAACAGTTAGGCTGCAGGCTCCTCACTGAAGGAGTCACAAAGGAGATTTTTATCTCAAAACTATCACGGCGTCCTTGCCGTGTATTAACCTGTATGCAGCCCCACACAGGTTAACACACCTATGGCATCATATCCAAAAGTTAGGAAAACAGATTTTACTGCTAAGTATGAAACTTTGAAACTTATTTCATCAGTTTCAAATAACTCATCTGGGTCAGATCAAAGCAAAATAAGAAGCTGACATCTTTCCCCATGAGACCTGAACACTGCACGACTTTTGGTTATGCCCCTCAGGTATGAACTGCCCAATCAGAAAAGAGGCTACGGACCTCTGGGCCGGTGTACAGCCATGATTAATAGGCTTAAAGGATGATTTACAGTTCCAGCAAAAAATGAGAGCGAATGAAAGAAAAGGAGGTTGTGATCTTTTTTCCCCCTTTTCTATTTTTAGCCACAAACCGAACTCAGTTGGGATGTTCAGATCACTGACAGGGAGGAAAAAAGAGGCAGGGTTAATAACCGAACACGTGACATGTGAATTTATCACATCGACATGTTAATTTAGTGAGCTAACCTTGTTTAAATCAGTTTCTATTCAGACATGAATATATCTGTTACGGACCATCATGGGCATACTATTGCATGCAATTCTCCAGTAATGACAGAAATAATAAAATTGTTTTCATGAAATTATTTTTACTTGTCTACTACATAATTACTTTAGTGTAGTATGAATGGAAATGGCGGCGGTCTTTATCAGAAGTAAATGCTGTTAAAATACAGTTAAAGTCCAAATTCTATGCTCTCCTTCAGATTGGGCCAGACTGGGGGATTTGGCAGGCAAATTCTGGCCCCTGGGCCTTATGTTTGACACCCCTGTTTTAATGGCTTGTTATTTACTAACACGTGGTTATGACAAAACTGTCATGAAATCATGAAATCAAGTCAAATCAAATGAAGGGACAAGATGTTTGTTCATAGTCCTAATTCTGCTAAATGTGGGCAAGTTTTGGTTGGATGCAGGTAAACGGTTCATGAGAGTGAAGGAGTGACTGGATTTGCTGAAATGCTGATTAGGAAAAAGCAGCGTGAACAAAAACAACAGAACTGAATAGAATAATGTATTTATTTTTAGAATATTCTCAGTCTACTGTTTGAATTGGTCGACACCAGCATACACGCTTGTGAATATGATTAATGAGTGTGGTTTTTTGTGAATTTACTGCATAAATTAAATCATTTAGTGCAGATCTTTTTTTCCTACTGGGCGCACTGGGTACTCAGATTAATAAAACAATCGGCTACTCCAGGATATTACATTTTACACATTTCCCATGTTGTTTTCCGTGTTGTGGACTAATTAGACTGTTTGTCTGAGAATATGCATACTTTAGATTTGAGACATTTGAATATTCTGCTGGGTAGAAATACAGTAAAAACTGAGAGAGCATGAAGACTGCCGAGGGACGTAAAACACGGAGACAATAAATGTGAATTAAACAGCTTCAACTATTGTTGTATCAAACTGAACATTTGAATGGCGCAATGAAAAATGCCTCTGTTTCCCAGCTGTAATTAGTTACTCACGCAGCCAACCTGAATTACAAGTCTGCCTGAACTTAAACAATGTGGTCCCTGTGTTTAATTGCCTGTTAGGTTATTTATTTATATGAGAAAATGGTTATAATTGCTGGCTGTGAATATACCCATTTTCAGTCATTAAGACAGATGGAGCCGCCTCTTTCAAGGAGGGCGGTGAAACATAAGAGCTTTGATGTGGTTTACAGGAGGAAATCAGCTAGAAGCAATAATTCAATGTCACTGGAAGAATTTTTATTTCTTAATTTGTGGTATTTCCACTTGGAATAAGTTTTTATTTGCACCTGTTCGGGCCAAACTCGCTGCTATTGACTCATCCTCTCATTTTCTTGCCAGTAAAAGTTTTTTCTCATCATTAATTGTTAAATAGGTTTATTTTCTGCCAAGGAGAAAGAGTGCAACCAGGAGGCAATACGATAAAAAATTAAAGCACCTACAGCAAAGAACAAAAAGGACCCAGAAATTCAACTCACATCACCACCAATGTTGTTGAACAACATTAGATTAATACACACATTAACATCGACATTAATATGCCGACATGAATGAGAATTTGGCAGTGACAGAGTGAGGAAAGACTTTTTGTTACACTCTCAGTGTGTAGCTGATGACATGCTGACACACACGGAGCAGATCGCCTTACAGCACATTCATCACAAAGGAAAAACAAAAACGATGCTGCATGATTTCACTTTTTAGCCAAACAGCGTCTCGTTTACAGGGAACACGATTTTGATTACATACTTTCAGGATGAATGAACTGACAAACACATTTACACCTGAGCAGTACAGACGTGGCGTTTGATAACGAGGGGAGAAAAAGATAAAGAGCTCTGCTCAGGAAACGTTCTGGAGGGGGCAGAGATGTTTCACAGAATCAGAAACTCAGGTTTTCATTCATGACTCCTGATTTTTCACAAACAAAAATCAAACATACAAGGGGAAAAAGTCAATCAAAGAAAAGCCACAAAAAACAGTTTGTCCGACTTTAGGCAGGCAAAGATAAGAAATGCAGTGTACCTTCAAACATTTCAATATGCCAGGTAGGACGTTTATACTTTAAACTGTTTTAAGCTTTACTTTAAACTTTTATTCGTTTTTAGTGAGTACTCTCGGACATTTTAATGGTTATGGTCGTCTCCATTGTCAAAATGATTCTGGTGAATGTATGAAACGGGTAGTTTTACAATTGGGTTATGGTTAGGTTTAGGCATTTGTTTTTGATGGTTAGGGTAAGTGGCTAGGGAAAGCAGTATGTCAAAAAGATGTCCCCACAAGATATGAATACCCGACATGCGTGTGTGTGTGTGTGTCACTTTTCCTGCATACATACCTTGGTGACACTCGGGGCAACACTGGCCGTCCTGAATGACAGCCAGGGTGCCCAGAGGGCAGGTACGGCAGGATCTCAGATAACAAGTCACCTGGGCATCGTGGCATTCGCACTCACGACAACTGCCATCACTCCATCGAGCAAGGTTCTATAAAAGAGAGGACATAGCATTTGCAGCTGTAAATGGGAGGTTAATGTTCTCATTATGCTTAAAGTGTGACTGCGATAAAGGCTTTTATAGAGGACGGACAGAATGTGGAAAATACTGAAAAGAAAAGGATTTTGACTTTGAAGAAGCTGATTAACGATTAAAAAGGATGCCACACAGAGAAGGCCGTGGTCTGAATGCTAATCAGCTGCATGTGTCCGTTTTAAAAGAAGGCTGACAGTCACGACTCTCATATGTTTTCTGAAACAGAAAGAATGAACTGACTGAGGCCCACTAAGGGGAGATATTCGAACAGGCGACAGCAGGAATGTCAGTCACAAAGGGAAAAGAGCCTCACATGGAAAACTGAAACATTTTTCAAGAACCTGTGAAGACTTTTCAAACTTTCTACTGTCCACACAGGGAACCAAGCAGATCGCTTTAAAAACTAACGTGTGCCGTCACCTGGCTCTGACACCGGCACTACCGTTATTTAAGAAATTCTACAGGTGTAAGAGCGAGTTTTCCTCATTTGCATATAATAGGTTTTTTTTCCTGAAGAGTTTTAGACTTCAGTCCTCTGAAGAACGAGATGATCCAAAGCTTGTCTTTAGCTTGACGATGTGAGAGACTGATAAACCTTGATTTTATCAGTCTCTCACATCGTTTTTAAGTTCTGATCCACTCCTTTTTATACAACTACTTCAGTTCATTGATGTTTGTGGCCATTCATTTAAGCACAGCTCATTTAAGGTCCCATAACAGCCTTTCAATCAAGGTTGAGGTCCAGACCTTAACTTGGCTGATTCTTTTTCTTAGTTGTAGGTTGCTGTTGTAGGTTTGTGGCTGTGCTTTGAATCATTGTTCTGTTGCATGACCCATTTTTGGCAAAGCCAAATGGCCTCACGCTGGACTCTAGAAAACTTTGGTATACAGAGGAGTTCATATTTGAATCAATGATTGCAAAGTGCACACATCCTTCAGCTGCAAAACAAGCCCAAATCATCACCTCTCCACCACTGTGCTGACAGCTGGTATGAGGTGTTTGTCCTTGTTTGCTGCGTTTCGGGTTTACCAAACATGGCACTGTGTGTTACGACTATTTTTCCAGAAGTCTTGTTGTCTGTTTGGATGCAATTTAGCGAACTGAAGTCACGCTGCCATGTTCTTTTTGGAGAGCAGAGGCTTTCTCGGGGCAGCTCATCCAAAAAAGTTACACTTGTTTTTCTAATTGCACTTTAATATTTAACATGCTAACTGAAACCCGTAGTGTCTGAGATGTAGCTGCTTTTGCAGCTTCTCTCAGCATTGCACAGCCAGACCTTGGAGTGAAAGTCTGAGACATCCACTCCTGGGAAGATTCTGCTGTTGTGTTAACACACCTGATTGCTCCAGACGAGCACGCTGCCAAAACATCAGCTTTTGCAGAGGTGTTCACATGTGCC